TTTTTTTCAGTGCGATATTAATTCTAATCCCAAATCAATGCTGCTGCTCTTTTTTATCTGCACAATCCTTACACCGCATTTACACGTTTACGTGCAATTTCTGTTCACAGTGCCTCATCGCTGAACTTGTCGATTTTTTTTGGAAAGCCTTATCTCAGATTAACTTGGAGTGTTTACGCCGCTCATTAAGAGCACAAGCAACGTAATAGCTTGCGGCAAGAGGTAATTCGTAGACGTAGATAGTGCACAAGCTTTGGCGTAAATGTAACGTCATATAAACAGTACCCTCCATAAGTTTGGAAACACTTTATAAGAGTGTGCGAATATAAAATCGATGTATCTTGCACAGATCGCTGCTGTGCCACTATTTATCTGTAAAATATAGGGTGTTCTCAAACTTATGGAGGTTACTGTAATTCAAAGTAAATACAACGTACGTCGAAGCTTGTGCGCTATCTACGTCCACGACTTACCTCTTGCCGTAAGCCATTACGTTACTTTGTGCCCTGACCCTAAGCTCGATTACGCCAGCGGGATCGCGGAAGCTCCGCTACTCGATACATCGCCGTAGCCCGTTGCTGGTCTTCCTCACGTCTGCCGCGGCAATCGAGACAATCCGACCAGTCGCTTTGAAAAAAAAATCCCGTTCCCGACTAGAAATGCTCAAGATCGTCGCGCGCGCGTCCTCGGTATGCGAATCGCGGAAATCGACGTGAGAGGAATCACGCAAGGGCGCACCTGCACATAAGTAGTATCCAATTTTCGCCTGCCGGCGCCGTCCCGTCCGAGGAGACGGGGTCGAAGAGCGGCGGAAGAGCTCGCGTGACGATCGACTCTCTCGCGAGAAGGAGACGCGTCCGATTCGGCAGTTCAATGCGAACTGATCGCGTCCCATGCCATTCCATTCCACCGTCGTTCCTTTCGGTCTTATTCCGCGAGTGACCTCTCTCTCTCTCTCTCTCTCTCTCTCTCTCTCTCTCTCTCTCTCTCTCTTTCTCTCGGTCTCAAAGTGACTCCCTCCTCTCAGACGGCTTCTCGCGATCTCCATCACTCATGCTCTCATCGTGTCGCTGCACCCGATCTCTATCGCCCGCGGTTGCGTCTCGCCGGTAATTAGTTCATTAAGATAAGGCTCGTCTGGGAATTAACGGAAAGGAAGGGACACTTATCCAGCCGGGCGAGTAAAGTATCACGGAGCAGGACAAATCGACGTGTCGCCAAATTACTATGTTCGGGAAAAAGTCAGATAAGGGTATCTTGTTAGAGATGAGATGTACACGGCTCGTATATTACGCGCGCCGCAAATAAACGCTCGAGTCGTCTAACGGCGACATATCTAGTTGCGCCAATCTAATTTTCTAAGAGTCTATTTCTCCTCTGAATATATATTCATGTGCACAGAGACTTGTATCCGAGACTTGTATTATTTATCTCTCTCTCTCTCTCGACGTACAAGTGCTGTAGATTATCAAATTCATCCTCCTTAACGTTTCCGTCGAGTTACACCCGCATTCCACTAAATTGCAATCTAGAGCTCCAAGAGCGACGCTCTCGTCATCGTTGCCCTTCGAGATGACCGATGATGCATCATTTAATCGTCGCTAATGAACGGCGCGAGAAGTCGCCGCGCGTTTAAGCTGGAATCCGGAATCGGTTTCAGAAATTTTACCCGGTGTAAACCCACGCGGAGAGTTTCACTCGTCTCGCGAGCCCTGAGGGCTATCGAAATGATAGAATGTCGAAGAGTCGCTTTCGTCCGACTGTCAGATGTGTAAGGGATCGTCTACAATAGATGAAGTAAGCCTGGCGTAAGAAGTAAGAGTAGAAGTAAAGAAATGAATCATTTCTATTTCTTACTCCTACTTCGGCTCCGACGCTTACTCTCGGAGAATTAAAGCGCAGTTCGACCAGCGCTATAAATATTTTAAGAAATTGTGCCTGTACTTTACACTGACAAGTAATGTGTACACTGACAACATAATAAGTGTTGGTCTACAACCTTGCTTTAAGTAAGCTGTAAGCCTTAAGCCGTAAGAAATTAACCAATCGCAGGCATTCAATTCCCCTCACTCTCACCTGTGATTGGTTAATCTCTTACGGCTTAAGGCTTACAGCTTACTTACAGCAAGGTTGTAGGCCAACACTAAAGGTTCTGGTTTCCTTACTTCTTACTGCTTACTTCCAATGTAGACGGTCCTAAACCGAAATCACGACATTTCTGACTACAACGCAAAGTATACTTGGGCTGCGTTCGGAAACATCACCCGAGTGGATCATTTTCACATTTCTTGTGGCCCGCCGAATGTTAAATAAGGATAAAATGATACACGGGGACACTCGGGTGACGTTTCCGAACGCAGCCTTACTTGGCGAAGTGCGCAAAGTAAGGTACTTATGTCTCGCACAACCGAACCGCCCGCTCTCCGCGAGCGCCCCGCGGAATTTTTCCGGCTGCCGCTGACCTTGGTCTTCGCTAAGTGGGTGACCTTCTGACCTAATCGCCGCTAATTTCATTTGCTAGAAACCCGCCGTCACGGCTGCGAGACCGTCGTCGCGCGTCCGCTCGCTCGCTCGCTCGCATTTTTACGCGCCGCAGCATCGGAGAGGCCTGCCCGCCTGTCTGTCGCGCTCCAAATACCTGTTCGGCTCTACCCACCTGCCGTGATTATGGCTCGTGGCGTCCCACGTAAATCTAGCCGCGGCTCGCGACGGGGGGACCTCGCGCTACCGTCGTGAGAATCCATTTTTCCGCCAGTTGCACTCTCCTTCCGGCTGCCCTCGATCAGAACCCTGCGTACGGGGCACACAAGAAAATGCAGCCTGCTTTTTTTTTTCTTTCTGTCCATCGTCCCTCTTTTACCGGCTCGAAAGAGGGACACCGGCTCATTACATCCTAGGTGGCTGAAAATTTTTGCACTGAGTCGGTACAAGCGTGGTATGACTAAGAAAAGTGAATGCAGCGGCGTATACGATGTTAGATTATTTTTTAAATATATATTCCCTTTTTTATTATACAAGACACATCGACATTTCGCGAAAAAATTTTCAGCCATACATGGATGTAGAGGCATTCTTCGAGATACCTCGATACCAACGTCGGTTGTACTTGTATATTGCGGCTTCGATAAGGCGATCGAATGTACAATCTCTTATTGCACGATAACATTGTAATGAATACCACCCCGGCGGCATTGAGTTGCAGGCACTATTGCAAAAAAGTATAAAACACCGATGTGAAACGTAAAGTGCCGATTTCGCAATCTTTTAATAATTTGGTAAAAAAAATACACCGACCACTAATCGCGATCACTTTCACGCGTGCAATATTCTGCTGCGAACCCGAGTCGAAATTTTGGCCCTACGTTGAACCTTTAATTCTATTATATAGGGTGTCTCATTTTAAATGATCCACGCAAATATCTCCACAAATATGAAAGATACGGAAAAACGTTTCAAACAAAAGTTGTTTGGTTCGAAGGGGGACATAAGGTGCTGCCATTGACTTGGCCTGGGATTTGAAACGTTATTCCGTATCTTTCATATTTTTGGAGATATTTGCGTGGATCATTTAAACTGAGACGCCCTGTATAGTAGGACCTAAAACAGTAAAAGAGGTCGAACTGCAAGTACAAAATTTACTCCTACTTTAAAACCGATAGTGTCGGAAATTTCCACTTTGCCAATTTAGCATTAAAGTAGGTCCTTAAGTAGGAGCTAAAGTAAATTTTTAGAATGAAAGATTCAAGGGAGGAGTAAAAAAAATATAATGTCAACAAAGTAGGTTATTGCTGGTCTACGTAGGTGTATAGGTCAGCTAAGTAGGTGTAAATTATTCTTAAAAGTGTCAAAATAGTACCAAAATTTCGACTCGGGTGGTCAAGAAAGCACTGACGTTGTTCCATTTAATTAGTTTAGCCAATGAAAATTTTTCTCAGTGTACGCCGCGTAAGAGACGAGTAACGACTCCGCGGGCTAATTGACAGATCGTCGTCTCGTTGACGTTCCCGGACCGAGACATCTCGTACGGTTCGATCGTTGCGGACCGTCGATTACGCGTGTACTCACGGAGCTGGTCGCGCGACACCACGGAGATGCTGTTGATCATCGCAGGGTCGAGGCACGTTTTGCAACGACGGTCGTGTCGGCGGTAGCGAGCGAACACGGAACTGCATGCGTCCCGAACGACAGCCCGCGCGAGACTGCCGGCCCCCCGATGACGACGCATCGTCTTCGGCATTCGGCTTGGATGGGCAAAGTAGACGGATGGATGGGTGGATGGACAGATGGATCGATGGACAGGCGCCGCGAGGCGCGATTTTTGCACTTTTAATCACGTCGACTACCACGTCGGATCGGATTAAACTCCCCGAGCCACTTGCCTCGAATATACAAGGTCTACGATGCCCCCGATCTGTCAATTTCGAACAAAACGATTTGGAGCCTCGCGACACTAGCACCGTCTTTCCTCGCGCCTCAATTCCTTGCTTGTCTACTCGTGCCAATTTTGCGTTGTCTCTTTACTATATGTACGCTCGATTAGGCAGATCAGATTAAGCACCGCGGAGATTGATCGATGCGCTGATTAGATTAAACACACGGAGATTGATTTTTGCGCAGCATGAATTAAAATAACAGCGTTGAGTTTTCAGGAAGATCTCCGAGGCAACGTCGAGACGTTGCGCGAGTCGTCTTCCGTTCTCGTTTCTCGACCAGTTCGCGTGCGATCGTCCTCCATGAAATATGTATGATGATTTAATTGAGCTAATGGCACGTAAACGTGCGTGATGCGTTTGTTCGTTAGTCAATTATGCTCTTCCCAAATGCAATCAGACCTTCGTGGGTTGTGTGATGTAATGCGCATTTCTGGACTAGGCCGTGACATTGCATAACGCATTGAATGCGTATCGTAATACGCAAATAGCGCGAGTTATTGATGCATTGGATAATAACACACGTACTGCTACGCACACATTGTCGGCCCATCGTAATAGCAAGTTTTTTTTTTTCTTACCAGTAGTTACGTGTCTACGGTAATGCTCTGGTGCCTTTTAACGCGGCTCGATAGAGCAAGAAAATAATTGATCTACTTGCCGCTCAAAGCTAATTCGTGCTTATGATCAATCGAATAAATGTTCTGTTTATGGAATTTCCAAGAACCAACTCAAGCTTCAATCGATAGACTTTTCTGCCAACTTGTGAGCGATATGTTTTATTTGAATTTAAAGTGTCGGCGTAATTGGAAAAGAGCAAAGTCTTGGCGGTTAATTTAAAACGGAGCAGCCTTGATTCCATGAAAATGTTAATTCAAGTTTAAAGATAGAGATATTCAATGTCGCGGTAAATATTCCTCGGGAGAGAAGCCGACTGCAAAACGGTCGACGAATACAAGTTCAAGTCCAAGTCTACTGCCGCAATAACATCCCGCGCCTCCATAAATTTTCTGTCTTCCGCTTTGCCAAGGAGAACCTTGCCAACTCAGCTCGAAACGTTAGAAAGGTACTCGCTCTACGCCAGAGCTCGACGTTGCCGAGAATTCGAAAATTCATTTATCCCCTCCACTTGTACTTGCACCAGAAGATACCGTAATCAACGGATCGCGCGAAAAACTAGAAATCGACATCCCGCACGTGGAAGAGAAGGGGGGGGGGGCAGAGAAGGCACCGGACGAAGACGGCAAGCGGAGCGTTTTGAAACGGTACGCATTTCGTCACGCCAGCGTGTGCACCGCGTACGTGCGTCGTCGTAAATGCAGTCGCCAGGAGGGACCGAGTCGCAGGCACGAGGAGGACGGAGAGGAAGGGAGACGAGGAGGGCCTCGACATCGTCATCGGCGTGTCGCGAGAGACCTTGGCGGCCCGAAGAGCGTTACCATTTTCGCGGGGCGTAGTAGCGGGATCGACGCAGGTGTGGACCGATCACGCGGTGCCGTAGGAAACGCGAGTACACGGCGCAGGGTGCGTCACGAAGGGGCGCGGGCGTTTCTGCTCGGGGGGATGAAAATAGGAGGCCGAAGGTGCGGACGGAGTTCGACCGTGAGCCTCGAGCCGTCGGGACAAAATCGTAATCTGATCGCGCGTCGTTGAATATCACATCGCTCCCGACGTCTTCTAAACCGGAGAATTGTTCTATGAAAGTATCTTCCAGAACGCGATTCGTGGTCTTCGGAACTGTGACTCCCCCGAGGTTCCTCGACCAGGGCAATCGTTTACCATGATCCGTTGTGGACGATTTGAAAGTGTATCGTAATTGACCAAGGTGAAAAGTGTTTAACGTTTTGCCGACTTGAGCTTTTGACGTGTTTCTTATCGCGATACACGGAATTTTCTCTTAAAATTTATTCTGAAAATTATGTAATCGTGGGGCAACACGACATTTCGGAGAATTTTATGGGAGTTTATGGAAATTTTGCCATATATTTTGAAATTTTACCAGTAAAATTTCAACTTATAAAATGCCATGTTTTAATTTTCAAAGTAAATTTTCAAAGACTTTTCTCTCAGCGCACATGATCTTCGGGGTGAATTGTAAAAAAATTCTCCCCATGTAGTGTTTCACATTTTAGTATACGGCACACATTTATCTAGACTGATGGCGTAGTCCGGACACTTGTCACAGTTGACAATTTGTGAGTTACACGTTTGACCGAGACCTAAACCCATGGTCGAAACGCAGCGAATTAATAAATAGGGTTTCATAGCCAGTCGATCGCAAATTTTATTTCCGTAAACGGAGTGCAACGGCCGACACTAATAATTAGAACTTCGTGTTAGAACGGAAGAGAATTATAATTTCATACCGGAGCCTCATCTGCCTGAACGAAAAGCAGCCTTTTCGCGCAAATACACGCGCGTACTCGCTTTTCTCAGTGCAAGTCTCACGGACGCACAGAGAGGGGTTCACACGCGAAGTGACATCCCCCTCTCTCCCGCCGGGTCTCGCGAACAAAAATTCACTGTCAGCCACCCCCACTCGCCCGCGTCGCGTATTATGCGTCACCCTGTATTATGCGTCTAGTTTGATGCCAAACTAGAGCGCGCCGTGCTAAAGATAGACCGTTGCAGGCAGGAATCGGTGTGCATTACCGGCGCAGGGAACAAGGGCGACCTTGGCCTTACGAGCTTATATAATGCGGAAGCGGCCGATTCGCGAGCTCAGTCGTTTCGACGCGATACGCCAGCCGATCGCGATCAGCCGGACGCGGGGCCGCGTTTCCGGATGCATTTCTCCTTCCTCCTCCTCGCAAGCCCGCGCCGCGCCTCTATATCGATTTCGAAAACGTCACTCGAACGCTCTTCTTTCTTTTCGCAAGAGAACAAATTGCGCGTCGCGCTACCAAAACGTTTTCCGCGCGGATGCAGAAACGACTTTTTCCACTCGAACGCAAAATCGTCTTGGCTGAAGCGTTTTGCCGCGCAGTTACAGGCCAAATTTGTATTGTCGCTCTTCGAGATTGATTTTCGGCCCATCGCGATCAACGGCGACGTCGGAAACTCCCGCGAGGTCGACCCTGAAGGATGCGAGCGGCGACGCCGCTCTCGGGACGGTAGCCGCGATCGGAAAAATATAAGTGCCATTAAAGGAGCGCGCGCGCCGCTCCGGCTGATCGACTGACCGGCGGCCGCGGTGGGGATCACGTCGCCGCGGAAAATCGACGTCTCTTCTTGGCAGAAACGGAGGTTGCCCGTGGGTGGCGGTGGCACGGCAGAGAGCAGCGAGGTTCTTCCGCTTTTTTGACAGATGCGAGCGTCAGTGCCGCGCGACGCCTCGCAGTGCCCGTCGAGCGAGGAAGTCGAGCACGGTTTACGACATTGTTTACGCGGTGTTCGCTCGTTCGCGGTGAGTTCATCCAGAACGAGGAGACGTCGAGTCGTTTTCGACACTCTGTCACTTATCAGTAGACGCGTGACATTTTCATGTTGCCTTTGTACGCAAAATATCGCAAAATGCCCCCAGGAACGTTTCTAATGTCATTTCTTTCTGGAGTCCCCAACTTCGTCTTGATACGTTTTTAAAACGCAAAATAGCGTCCAAATAACGTCAAAGATCGCGATTTTCCTTAGTAAACATTTCTAATGTCAATGTTGTCTCCTAAACCAAAGAGATTTATGTCTGAGACCAGTTTTGGCTTACTTTTTTTTAGACATGTTACTGCTTTTATAGCCTGAAAATGATATGTAATTTCAGTAATTTGTTCCATGCTTAATATGTTACATTTTGTAACATATGTTTAGCCTTAATAAATGTCGTAAATTGTTCTATCAGAACATTGAGGTCCGGTTTCACCAATATTGTTTAGCTTTAAGCCTAGTTTAACTCGTTCTTTGTCTCTTGCCAACTGTTACTTTAGAAAGAGGCAGAGAACGAATTAAACTAAGTTTAAAGTTAAGCGACGTTGGATTTAGGATCTCATATTTCATCTAAAGTTCCGTTTTCCAATGTTATTATTGTTACAGTGACATGTTGCGATTTCAAGATGCCACTCGTATTTCGTAATCCCGACTCAACTGCGTACACGATGCCGCTAAACGATAATAATGAATGTTAAAATTGGAAGAAAGATTCACGGGGCTGTGATTTCGCATCGAGCGCGCGCCCGTTGAAAAGCAAACCGCGAACGCGACCTTGATTTTCTTTATTATGGTCACGCGTACGAGATCGCATCTGCTATGCAGACTGAGTCCCATTAGATATACAAGAAAAAAATCTATTCGACTCTTTCGGTTTGCTCCGTGCAAACGACGTTACGTCAGGCTCCGTCAACGGCGGGTACCGCAAAGTCGGGTTACTTCGCGACGAGTGCGTGCGTCAAACGCAGCGGCGATCCCGACGAGACGGAAATTTGGCATTAACCGCGTGGACTAACGCATCAACACTTTGCGTCCGTATTTATTCGCTGACCGTGAGATCATCGCGGAACTTGTCATAACTGGCGCGATCCGCAAAGCTATCGTACGATAATTTATCGCCTGAAATAATTCGGGCGATCCTAGAATAATTTTTAGCGCACTTTAAACATCGAGGTATCAATCTGTTTCCAGGGCTGAAGCGATTCCGGCGAGTACAGCGAGCGGGAGAGATTGCGCAATACCGCAGCACGAGTTTCTAGGTAGAGGGATGTTCGCTAACACTTGAATATCACAGAGGCATTCATGTCTCGCCTTGGATACCGAGTATCTCTATACCAATTGAGTAATACAATAATAAATTATAGCAATAGCTTTTCCCGACATTATTAATCTATAAAAGTCTTAACTTTGAAAGTTTCTAAAGCATGGCGAGCTACGCCCACACAAAGATTTATGTACCGATTGACGTTTTACGTAACATATTAATTTTGTGTCGCGTACACCGATATTCGAGTACAACTTTGAAAATAATCGTCGGTATATCATGTTAAAGGCGTTCCCTCGTCCAGGTGACCCAAGGTGACCCACTGGCACCGCGGCACCGTAAAGGAGGATGGTCAATACGATATTGCTGCTTTGGGCGTTGGTCGGCCTAATTGGCCGAGCGCACGGCAAATGCAGCTTAGCGCCGATCGCCGACAACGAGCGGTCGATCGCCTACGCGTGCATCCACGGCGACCTGGGCGACCTCGACGAGCTACCCGGCGAGACCGAGTGGATCGAGTTCTCGGTGTCGCGCTTCCACGCGATCCCCGACGACGCGTTCCACCGATTCCCGAACCTGCGCCGCCTGTCCTTCTACAATTGCCACGTGAACGTGATCGAACCCGCGGCGTTCCGCGGCCTGAATCGGCTCGACTGGCTGATATTCCACGGCACGAGGATCCACGCGGCGAGGTCCGCGTGGTTCCGTCACGTGCCGAATCTCAGACGACTGATCCTGGACAGGTACCTATCTTTCTCCTCGCGATCTGATTACGGCGAAATTACGGAAAAATTGTGGCAAATTAAAAAACGAATGTAAGCTAAGCAGATTGTGACGGAGTTCGGAAATATAATACAAGAAACTGTAGCTTTTTTTTCGAGTGCACGACAAGATAATCGTGATCTAGGAATTACAGGTATCTCTCTTTCTCCTCGCGATATGGTTACTACAAAATTACGGGAAAACTGTGACAAATAGAAAACGAATGAAAGCTAAGCAGGATGTAACGGAATTATGACATATAATACAAGAAACTGTAGCTTTTTTTTCAACGCTAATTCGGTGG